TTGTAATGGCTTCTTGGGGCATTTAAAAAAAAAGAACAACTTTTTAAATCAGTATTTAATTTGTTGCACAATCGAATGGAGTTTCATTCGCTTGCGAATGTGATCGTCCATCGATACCAGACGACCCTAAGATCAAATGTAAATGTCTCATACCAGATGACCGAATGGAACATACTAATTCATTTATATTTATTTATTTATTTCGTCATATATAAGCATTTTACAATGTTCTCGTTTGCAAGTTTAATAAAATAAATCAAAATATAAAGAATGACAGGAGCAAGTAGAAGACATAAGTCTTGTCGTCAAGCCCCTACAATTTGCGTGATATGTTTTTTACAAAGTATCCATAATATATAAAATATAATAATTTATATTCACTATATAAAGCAAGTTAAAATATCAATAATAAAATAAAATTTGCCAAATTAAATAAATAAAGTAAAGAAATTTAAAAGATTAGTTTTACAAGTTTTTTCAACAAAAAAATAAATAATCATTTTATATAGCGAGTTAAAAATAGCTATACTATAATAAGACTTCTAAAGTAAAATATAGAAAAAAATTCACTACATCATCACACCTGTAGACATCAACAGTCTTTATTATCAGTAAATCAAATATTTTTTCTTTGTTGCATATGATTTAAACACAGAGTCTCTAGAGCGTTAGTTGTTTCTCCCCCCTGCCCCATGAGCATCTTTCCACTCATTTTATATTTTCTTATGATTTTTTTTTATTAAACAACACCATCTTATTTTTTCTGTTTTTATCTGTTATCTGTTTTTATTATCACATCTCCCAGGTCTAAGTAACTGGACGGCTCCGTTAGTTACCTATATGCAATCTTTGCGTCGCATGAATAATTATAAATATATTCTTTGTGGCTAGTGAGCCCCGACCTTTTCCAATGTACACCACAACGACAAAACGGAAATTAGGTTATCCCGCTGGATGTGGTTACGGCGCTAAATAACCTAAAGACTACGCTAACAATCAAACACATGTTTATTTGGAAGCTCCGCAATGCACGTCGGATCAGCGCTCGCTTTCTAAAAACTTAGAAAAAGAAGGGAGCCACTCAGGGTCACTGTCCCTGTCTGTCCCTGACGTCCCTGTATATATATATATATATATATATATATATATATATATATATATATATATATATATATATATATATATATATATATATATATATATATATGTTACTTTTAGATATTTTCGAGCAAATATATTCTATATGCGGTTTCCATGTAATGTTCTCGTCGAAAACCACTCCTAAAAATTTAGTAACAAAATCTCTTTTTATTTTAACTTTATCAATAAATATTTTGGGCAAATTTTGGGGTAAATAGCGTTTTTTAGAGAGTGAATGGAAAAGAACCCATTTGGTTTTATTAATGTTAAGAGTTAACTTGTTACATTTGAACCAAGTAGATATGTTTTTAAGTTCATCATTCATTGTAGAAAAGAGTTTGGATATGTCATTATTAGTCAGGAATAAGTTAGTGTCGTCGGCAAACATGATACTCAAGTTTGAGGCTTTATTTAAGTCATTTATATAGATTAAGAACAAAAGTGGCCCCAAGATAGAATCTTGGGGAACACCACAGGAAATATTTAGTAGATGGCTTTGGTTATAGTTATTAATAAAAACAAATTGTTTGCAGTTTGATAAGTAACTGCGAAGCCATTTTATAGTTATATAGTTTAATCCGTAGTATTTTAGTTTTTCAAGCAGGATTTCATGGTCGACAGTATCAAAAGCATTCGAAAAGTCAATAAAAACACATAATGTAAATTGGGATCTTTGAAAGGAATTTGAGATTTCTCGTACAAATTGGATGATTGCATGTTCGGTAGAATTATTTTTTTTGAAAACAAATGTTTATTATATAAAAGATTATTGGAGACAAGATAATTGTATACTCTATTGTACATAATACGCTCTAAGAAAAGGTAGAAAGGATAGATATAGGGCGATAGTTACTGATATTGCAACAGTCTCCTTCTTTAACGGTTTTAGCGTTATGTTTTATCATAGCAAAATTGCCTTGAACATAACGGTTACATAACGCCAATTTACCGTTATGTGCGAGGAAAACTCCCGTTATACAACGGGTATTTTATTGTTATGTTGAAAGTCTAATATAACGGGTATTTACCCGTTATGTTGTTATGTAAAAATAAAACTCTCCGTTATGTAAAAATAAAATTCTTAATAAAATTAAAATAAATTAAATAAGAAAAAATCATACAGTTTTATTTCTTAATATATTTATATTATGTTATTTTTCATAATCGTGAAATTTTTTTACAAAATAATTGAAAAAATTAAATTATTAGCATTTATAAATTCAAAAGCACTTTGTATTACTGTGAAAAAAATTAAGAAAAATCAATAAAGCCAATTGCCCGAAGCTTCAAATACCTTTTTAATATCCCAGAAGCTGTCCAAAACAAGAATATATCTGATCATATGTACTGATCAAGGGCTGAACATGCATTTCAAAATCTCTACGACTAAATAAGCTTAGCTCTTTTAAGTATTCATGTAGTCAATCACACCAAAATATTATAAATGCAAAATAAGTATTATAACCATAAAAGAAAAAATATAGACATATGTATAAATATTATATTTATATAAACATATATATACATATATATATATATATATATATATATATATATATATATATATATATATATATATATATATATATATATATATATATATATATATGTATATATATATATATATATATATATATATATATATATATATATATATATATATATGTATATATATATGTTTATATAAATATAATATATATACATATGTATACATTTTTTCTTATATGGTTATAATACTTATTTTGCATTTATAATATTTTGGTGTGATATATATATATATATATATATATATATATATATATATATATATATATATATATATATATAATATATATATATATATATATATATATATATATATATATATATATATATATATATATATATATATATATATATATATATATATATATATATATATATATATATATATATATATATATATAGGGTAAGGTGGGGCAAGAAGCCCACCATAAGCAGTTTCGTCTTTTTTTTACTGATCCAATAAACGTATCTAGAAATTTATCTTACCATTATTTCAGATACATAATAAACTTAAGTATCTAAAGTTATTTTCTTAATGGCTACTCAAGTTTTAATGGAAATATGCTTTTTATAAACTGCTATAGAGTGGGCCTTTTGCCCCATTGCTGGGGCAAAACGCCCCTACCCTGGGCCTTTTACCCCAAACGTTAATAGCTTGAAATATTCCTTTTTTACAATAAAAATTTATTGCAACAATACACTTTTTACTAGTCACAATATATTTGTGTGTAAAAATGTCCAACAAAAGTTTTAGTAGAACACTTAGCACCATAATATTAGCAAGTAGCACCATATATGCTATCATATGACAATGGCAAACAGCACCATAAAATTAATAGAGCTAAAAAGAGCTAAAAATTTATAGACTAAAAAGATAGCTATAAAAACTAATTTATAGAGCTGAAAAACACAGCTAAAAGCTAATTCATAGAGCTTAAAAGTTGCTAAAAAAAACTCATTCATAGAGCTAAAAAGACATCTAAAAAAATAATTCATAACCCAAAAAGACAGCTAAAAAACTAATTCATACAGCTAAAAAGACAGCTAAAAAACTACAGTAAGACTAGTTGAATTGATTATGCCTATTGGCAGTGAAAGCAGACAGCAGTGTCATCAGGACCACAGCCGTCGTGGTACCAGTTGAGACATTCTGGGCATTGCTGCCAGTCATCAATGGGTGGTTCGTTAAATCTTTTACCACACATGCAACATGGCGTATCATCACTGTTAGTAACAGAACCTACACATCTTCGTTCTTTTGACCCTTTTTTTATCACGTTAGCATTCGATGCGTTACTTTTGATTGTCCTTTTTGATTTTGTTCTCGCATATTGCTTCCTTTTCCCGGTTTCTTTATCATCTCCACTTTTCGTTCTCTTGGATTTGTCTGCGATTACACCGATTTCGTCTTCATCATTTTCCTCATTATTATTTTCAACTACTACTTGCTTGTTCTGTTTTGCCTTCTTTGCATTTGCTTCAATTAACATTGCTTTATAAGGACTAGAAGTTATTACAGTTGCTGCTTCGGTTTTTCGTTTGCGACTGCGTACATTCTTTATCCTTGGAATAGGGCTTAGTTCTGATATAATCTGCAATGCTTCGGATAAACCAGGATAATCAGCTGTTTTATCTAGTTGATTTTCATCGGACTCATTGCTCTCTCCTGTTGCAATCCTATCAGTCTCCATCACATTAACCGATGCTTCATCATCCACCGCATTGCCGGCTTCTTCATTTGTACTCGTAGGTTCACTTGTTTCGTTTCTAGCACTGTCGTCCAATACTGCAAGTGTGATCACGGGTTCTGGCTCATCATTTAATTGTGCAGCTATAAAATCCTCATCTGTAAAGATGGCTTTGTTGAATGGGAAAATGCCAGACACTTCAAATCCTTTCACAGCTTTATCCACCGCAGCAACTGTTGCATAGGCTGTTGCAAAAATTTCTGCTATGTCATACAGAGTTATACGCTTGCCTGGATGAGTGCGCATCCAGCTATCTGCTGCGGAGTTGTAGCTACATTTTAATGGCTTAAAGAAAGTTCGATCCAGTGGTTGCATTTTATGTGTGCAGTGTGGTGGTAACGTTATCATTGCAATCCCATGATCGCGACAAAAATCAATTGCTTCAAGAGTCTTATGGCTGTGATGCCCGTCTACAATTAGAAGTTTGGGATTTGAAATACTTGCTGATGCATGAAGAGCAAAGTGCTCCAGCCATTTAAGAAATAAAGTCGAATCTGTCCAACCAGATGCATTTGCTCCACCAATGCTGCCAGGAGGAGCACCTTTCATTAATTGATCTATGAGTCTTTATCGAGAAAAAATTAGCATCGGAGGAATGTACGATCCACTCGCATTCATTGCACATATAACTGTAACAGTTGTGCCTCTTTCCACACTAGTTATTTTACCGACTTGTCTAACACCTTTTGTGGCAAGCACTTTTCCTGGCTTTTGGACATTTGTGATGCCAGTTTCATCCATATTCCATATTGACTGAGGTCCGTACGCATTCTTTGTAAGTATATCTTCGTAAACGGTAAAGAACTGGTCTACTTTTGGTCGATTAAATCCAACTGCTTGATTCATACTAGTTGCCTCTGGAATTCTAATTGTTAATTCTGGATGACGCTTCAAAAAACCACTGAGCCAGTCCTTGCCAGCTTGCCTGGAGGAAGTATTAAATGAATGCTTCAAGTGATGTCGCTCGGCCATATCAAACGCTAGCCGCCGGATATCCGTCGTAGTTAATCCAAATAATGCTCTTTCCATCATTTGGATATGTTTAACAAGATCTTGTTCAATTTCGATAGAAAAAGTATTCACATGATTTCCTAATTTATTGCTCCCAACTTGTCTTACTTTGCCCTTCAAATGCCTTCTCAATGTCTTCCTTGAAACTCCAAAACTGTTTTCAGCTTTACGCAAAGACATACCATTTTTTACTGAATCTAAAGCCCGTTGTAAACCTTCTGCTCCATAACTTCCTCTTTTTGTCTTCCTTTTGTAATTTCTAACCATATCTATAAATAAAATAAAGTTAAAATTTGAACATTCTACTTAAATAATGCAAGGGGTAAAAAGCTCAGGATGGGCCTTTTGCCCCATTAACAAACTGGGCTTTTTGCCCCAAAATGGTCGATGCAAAAATTGCTAAAAACATATTATTCTATGGTACAATGAACGTTATGTAAATAATCAATACATAATTTGTACGCTTACAAATACATAAACTGATTTAAATAATCAACTAAGTTTAATAATAATCTACAAAAAATTTTTAAAATTACGCAAAAAATCAAAATGTCCTATTCTTATTACCTGTCAAGTCTTTCTTATTGTCTGTCAATATTCTGTTAAAAATTATGTTTCTACTAAAAATTCACCAAAATTCGCTCGCAACACTGTTACACATTTATCATTCATACTACAAAACAATAATTATAATATTTTACCTAGGTTCTTTATAACTGCAGGATGGGCCTTTTACCCTACCTGGGCCTCTTGCCCCACCCTACCCTATATATATATATATATATATATATATATATATATATATATATATATATATATATATATATATATATATATATATATATATATATATATATATATATATATATATATATATATATATATATATATATATATATATATATATATATATATATATATATGTATAAATATTATCATTATTACTATTATTAATTAATTAAAAAAAAATTATGTAAATAAATATTATTACATAACAAAAAATCAAATTGCAAAATTCCTTTAAATTCACACTATTTTTTACTGATAAAATAAAACTGTTAATATATATTTTTAAAGCGTTTAATCGTTATAAACATAACGGTTAAACATAATGCTTTATATATATATATATATATATATATATATATATATATATATATATATATATATATATATATATATATATATATATATATATATATATATATATATATATATATATATATATATATTTGTAATATATAAAATTATTGGTATGGTAATATTATTACGATACCAATAATTTTATATAAATAAATATATATTATCATACCAATAATTTTTGGCATAATATATGCGCAATAACGCTTTTAACATAATTTTAACTTAACATAACGTTGAACATAACGCTAAAATTTTTCTTTACCGTTAAGTAACCGTTATTTTAGCGTTATGTTTTTTCCTGTGTAGATCATCAATTATATATAAATTTTAACTATATGAAAAAATACAACTTTATGATGGAGTTTAAAGTTTCATACCATTTCGACAATCATCAGCCATATATAATTGTGGTGACACAGTCATCCGTATTTTATATATATTAATTATTAATATATATTTATATATATTCTTTCTGTAACGCAAAAGTTTCATTGTAATTTTATTATTTTATTTTCATATGAACAGCGAAGTATATTAATATATATATATATATATATATATATATATATATATATATATTTATATATATATATATATATATATATATATATATATATATATATATATATATATATATATATCAAATATATGAAACACAAGATAAAGTAGGCCGCCATGAACAATGCGGGCCTTTTTTTTAAGCCAGTTTGACCCTGCCTACAGTACATTAAATACTACATCATCAGTTATTAAAGTTGGAAAACCATATTTCCTTTTTGATAAAGCTTTTAATAGAACAAAAAAAAGCTTAACAATGTTATTCACAGTTTAACTAGTCTTAAATTACTTCATGCAACAAAATTGAAACTAAGAAATAAGTTTAAGTACGAGACTGCCAAAATGATTGCTCAAATTTCAGAAAACATCCCCAATGAAGCTGTTAAGAAGTATTCGTCTGCATTAATTATTGATGGTGGTATATCAAAATCAACATATCAGCTTCTAAGAAACAGTGCTGATTATTCATCTTTTGCGAGCACACATTCATTTACGTGAAGGAAACCATTGCACATTACGATTTAAGCGTTTCTGACGGCGATAAAAAAAATTTTAACTATTGAAATCTTAAATAATGAATCTAAAAATGTATTAATAAACTGCTGTTGAGTGAGAATCTGAGCACGTTTTTTGAGCAAAATGTTATTAAAATAGGCATTAAAGAAAAGGAAAAAAAATTTTATTATTTGCGATCTAGACATGAATTTTTTAAACTACGAGAATGACTGTGAAATCAAAATATTTTATGATTTAATATTTAAAATAGGAGCGATTCCCCTAATTAATCGTCCAACTAGAGAATCAGCAAACTCAGCAACTCTCATTGATAACATTATTACAACTGATGTCTTCAATAACAAAATACAAAAAGGTATATTGAAAGCAGATATAACTGATCATTTCCCAATATTTCTATCATTCAACTCAAATTCTAAAATTAAAACCAAAACTAATAATACAAAAAACTTGCTCAGGTTCCCTACCGCAGGTGATTAGAGTGGATAACAAAGATGTTTTTGAACCTAGATTAATAGCTCATGAGTTTAACAAATTCTTTATTGATATCGGTTCCAAACTACCACATAAAATTCCTAATACCCAAGCTGTGTTCAATAACTTTTTAACGCCGATGGATGATTGCATTTGCTCCAATAATTTATCTTCTGAGCTATCATTGGAGGAGTTTCAAGTGTCGTTTAAATCTATTTAAAAAAAATAAAGCCCCTGGAGCTACAAAAATAAATGGAAACATAATCTTAGAATGCTTTGAACAAATAAAAAATATTTTCTTTAAAGTTTTCAGAGTGTCAATACAACAAGGAGTTTTTCCAGATAAGTTAAAAATAGTTAAGATAATCCGAATATACAAAGAAGGAGACAGAACTAATATTTGTAACTAACAAACTTTTTCTATTCTATCAACATTTTCAAAAATCTTAGAAAAAATTATTTAAATAGATTATATAGTTATTTTAAGGAGAAGAATTTTTTTATAAAAATCAGTTTGGTTTTTAAAAAAATAGTTCTATTGAGCATGCAATCATCCTATTCGTCCGTGAAATCTCTAACTCTTTCAAAAATTTACAATTCGCTTTAGGTATTTTTTGGATTTATCAAAAGCATTTGATACAGTAAATCATAGCATTTTGATTCATAAACTTGAATATTATGGAGTGGATGGTGTAATTTTGAAATGGTTTAAAAGTTATTTAACAAACCGAAATCAATTTGTTTCTTTTAACGATCCTTATCAAAAAATGTTTTAGATATTTCATTTGGTGTTCCGCAAGGATCAATTTTTGGGTCACTTCTTTTTTTAATATACATTAATGCTTTGCATAAAGCTTCTAATCTTTTAAGTATTATGTTTGCGAATGATACTAATTTATTTTTATCTGATAACAATATTAATAAACTCTTCACTACTATGAATGAAGAACTCAAAATAATTTCTAGCTGGTTCAAATGCAATAAACTTACCCTAAATATTAAAAAAACAAAATGGATTCTTTTTCATTCGATAACTAAAAAACGTCATTTACTCCGAACTCTAGCTGATGTTTTTATTCACCAAATTGAAATAAAAAAAGATTGCATCACAAAATTTTTAGGCGTATTCCTTGAAGAGAACATCACATGGAAGCAACATATTAATTATGTTGGTAATTACAATCTCTCTATCGCCGTCAGAAACATGCAATACGTGTATTTAATTTTGCTGATCGTTTTTCTCACTGTAAACAACTTTTTTATAAAATGAGAATACTTAATATTTACGAACTTAATATTTTTAATATTTTATGCTTTGTATATATATGTAAAAACAGTCTTTCTCCTGCTGTTTTTAATGATTTAATTACCTTGAATCCAATTTTGCATTGATTATCGTGCACCCCATCTCTGGAACAAAATTGTTTTGCCTAATTTTAATTTTGATCTACCTACTTCTTTGCATCTTTTTAAAGTTAAGCTGAAAAATCTTTTTCTTTTCCGTATTATCAAAATTTGACAATAATAGTCATATTATGGAAATATTTATTAAACTTTATTATCTATACTACAAAGTGATATATGTATGTATATTTTATTTTTATTTTATTGTAGTTATAGTTACTTTATAACCTAATATTTTGTTTACACTTGTATAAGGTTCTGACGATAAGATCTTACTGATCTTCTTTCAGATACCTAGTTTTTCAAATACTAGTAGTATTTGCTTACTTTATAATTTGTATTAATTGTTTATATGTCTAAATTAAAAAAAAAATAAAGGGATAAATGTCTTTGCGTATCAACGCAATCTTGAAATTAAATTGTTTTTTAAGAAAGGCGAGATCTCCGGGATTTTTTATCACAGTTAGGCGGGATGATTTGTAAGTGATATAAACAGCCCCTTGGGCGGGATGTTTTTTTATCCATAAGCTCAGCCCTTAAGTGTTCTTTTAATTATCCATTAATTGGATCATTCTTCCCAAATGTATGTGCAAATTTTTTTAAAGCTAAGTTAAAATTTTTTGATTTTTATATATTTAAATTCTGTATATTCGAATGCTCAAACTTCTCTGTAATTAAAAAAAATAACAATCTTTTTTCATTAAAAAAAGTTATTTAAACTCTTGGCTATTTAGTTTGGCCCCTTTTTTCTATATATAATAGAGAAAAGAATAAAAAGCAATTACTTATTACTATTAAGAGATGAAAATTCTCAAAAATCCTTGGAATTTTTGGCATTGCAATGGAGAGTAATTACTAATATATGAGATCAATGCATTGATATTATATCTTGATAAAGACTCGCAACCTAATGATTCCTTCGACCCCTATATTTTGACAAAACTTGAACGATTGAAAATAAATTACAATACAATTTTTTTGTTATTGTAAAAAAATGTCAAAATCTTTTTTTTTTAATTCAATTTTAACGACTTTTATGCGATTTTTAGCGGATTTTAACGTTCTTTATTATTTATAACGAAAGTTTTATTGGTAATTATTTATTTATTTTCCTGACAAAAACTTAATTTATATATTTTTATATCATTCAATTTTATATACTACAAAGTACCAAGATTCATATTGTTTAAAAAAAAAAAAAGGAAAAAGAAAACATTTTTTAAATTGAACTTTTCATTTTTTTGGAAGAAATTTATTCAAAAATAAATTTACATGAATGCTTAGATACAAAAAATGAATAACAATAAGTCTTTTTATATTTTATAAAATCAGGTCGTTTTTAGTAGGAAACCAAAATCCTTTTTTTTTCTTTTTTTTTTTCATTCTTTGTTTTCATCTTTTTTTGTTTTGTTTTTTTGGAAACAAAAGCTACCGATTTTACGATAAGCGTGTGAATTATTTACACATAAAAGTAATTGATGACGTATTTCCTTTATAAGTCTGTTTACGATTTAGTTTTTTTAAAAACTCTGCCTTTGTGCAATTTTTAAATAATATATTGAGGTCGACTATTGATAAGAAAAATAAATATATTTATCTTGTATTTAGGATTTAGTGTGATTTAACTATCTAAAAAAATTTTTTTTTTAAAAAAGAAAAGATATTTAAAAGCATTTTAACGACAAAACTAAATGGATGTAGATTTTGAAAAAGCGCTGAATGAACTAAACGAAAGAACCGATACGCGATGTTTGGATGTTGAAGCTATACGCGATAGGATAAAACTTCGACCAGATATTTTATTTACGAGAGTCGACGATGAATTTATTATCCGATTTTTGAGATCCAGGAAATACGACAAAGATAAAGCATTCCAGTTACTTGTTAATTACAACCAATTTCGCCGAAAGCACTTTATTTTTTTCAAAACACTTAACATTTCCTGTTTGCGTCCAGTGTTTGAAGACGGACTTCCAACTGTATCACCATTACGAGATCATCTTGGTAGAAGCCTAATTTTTTTGTTTGCTGGAAATTGGAACAGTGTTCTATATACTTTTGACGACATTTTAAGAGCTCTTTTTGTCACAATGGAGTACTTAATTGAGAGCGAGCGTACGCAACTTTTTGGTGTGGTTCTTGTTGTAGATTTTACAGGCTGGAAATTTGCAGATGCACAAAAATTGAATAAACAACATCTTATCGATGCAATTAAAATGTTTCAAGATTGTTTTCCAGCTAGATTCAAAGCAATTCACTTTATTAATCAACCATGGTATGTGAGAGTTATGTTAACACTCATTAAATCAACTTTAAAAGAAAAGACAATAAGCAGAGTAAGCGTATTAATGATTTTTTTTTAACCACTACGAAATACTTTTATTTGAAATCGGTTGATCTAGGTTAATAGAGTGCAGCAACATTCATTGGTAAGAGTAGCGTTGTAGTTAAGTGTAAATGCTATTTTATAAATTAGTCTTTAAAACGAAGAGAAAAAAATTATATTTTTTATGCAAATTTGTCGACGGTACTTTGCGCGTGCAAGGGAACATCTCTTTCTCCTAAACTGAGTGCACATATGATAAAAATGACTTCTTTTTCATTAGAAACTTATTATATTTTTATTTTGTTGCACGTATTTAATTTTATTTTTTAATTCTAAAAATGTGTTTTATGTTATAATTTATATTAGTATGTCACTTGATTCTATTTTTAGATCTATTTTCATGGCAAAAATTTATTTGAGTTACAAAACTATATAAAAGCGGACGCTTTGCCCCGTGAACTCGGAGGTGACCTTTTGATTACAGACAAATCGTGGTTGTACAAAGCTTTATTAGAAAAAGAAGTATTCAAAGGAAAATCTGAAAGAAAAAAAATTCTATAGGTTCTTTTTATAGGCGCATGTAAAATATATTTTTGTAAAAAAGTTATGTGAAGCTAACTTTTAGAAGGACACGTTATTTTAACGTATATTTCTTTTCACAAGCTGGTGTTTAGCTTTGTCAGTATGTTATCAAAAATGTTGCCTCGCTGATATGTTATTCATATATGATTAGCATTTGTTTATTAAAGACAGAGTTAAGTAAGTTTGTTAATTATTTGCATAGGTGTATTTACTTATATATTATACTCATTTGTTTCAGTTTTTATAAACAACTCAAAAGTTTTATTTGGTTAAATAAACGATAATTAAGTTATTAATTTTGAAGTGAAGTTTTATTTTATTTTATATAATGCTTTTTTATTAATTTTGCTCTAAAGTTTTAACGGTTATTGCAATTTTACTTTCTAGATTCTTTTATTTTTTCATTCATGGTTACGATTCTAGAAGATTTCAATGAAGCTCAACATGAAGCTTTTTTTAAAAGGTGGCAAATTTATATATAATTTACTGCTATCATAAAAAAATCACCCAATTTTTGCGAGCCATCAGCTATATACCGTGATGTCAGTTAAAAAAACAAACATTGGATCTCATATTGGATACAAACGTCAATGCAATAAATTTGGTTTGAAACTGGATGAGTGAGATAAATATCAAATTTGAAAAGACTTTATATTTATTTATATTTATTTTTTAATCTTAAATAAATTAAATCAATTAATAAACCTTTACTCTTTTGCTAAACAAAAATAATCAAACTATGACGATCACATAGTGTGTGAATTTACAACATTTATTTGTGTGCAAATTGCGCATAACAGTAGAAATTACGCTAATATACTATCAAGTCAAACAAAATAAATTAAACTGCACATAATTTACAACATTGAATATAATGCAACTTTAACGTGTACGCTTCACAAATTTAGATTGACGTATTGATTTATAATGAAAAGTTAAAATTGTTTTAATTCTTTTAAAAAATCCGTACACGGTAAGTTAATAGATAAAACAAATATACAAGTATTGAAAAAAAAAACAAACGCGGATACTCGCAGAAGACCAATGAAATTTCGCCATAAAGAACCACTCGTAAATTACAAACTCAAAAAGTTCCAATACATACTCAAGTACTGTACATAAAATAATAAAGCAAGTTATTAGGCGTATAAAGATAATAAAATATATTCCAAGGAGAAACTCCACGAAATGAAATGCTTGATTTTCCAAAATTAGTTTTAAATAACAGTATTTATTTGTATCTTTTAATCTATATAAATTGTTTTTTTTTTTCAATTATTACATGTTGTAAAATATAAACTTAGAGTCTGCAAGAAGATCATATTGATCTTGTGGCCAGAACCATATGAAAATTGAAATATAAAACAAGTTGTTAAAATTAAATTAGCAATCTAAAATAGTTGAAATAATAAATGGTTAAAAATTATATATAAAAAATATTTTAATAGTTTATATGTGTATGTTACTTAGATAGTCTTCATTTTTTAGTATTTTTAAAGCTTTAAAATTAACGAATTAATGCTACTTTTTAACTGTCCCGTTTTAGCGCACCCACTTGCAAAATGTAAATATTTCGCTAGTCTAGAGTTTCGTTACTTTGGTTGTCGTAGCTTGTTTTTGAAATTTTTTTTTGTTTTTTTGTTTTCTTATATCAATAAATATAAAACAATATATAAAAAACAGTGTTAATTACAATTAGTTTTTCCGCAACTAGCATTTGGTTCTTAAGTGTTTCTATATGCCCCGCTCTACCCTATATTATCCCTTGAAAAAATAATATTATTTAGCTTATTTTTAAAAACTGGAAAAGAGGTTGACATCAAAATTGGGCTGAACAACTTTATTGCGTAGATAATGTATTCGATAATTTATTTAAAATTGATTAACTTTGTTTACCAAAAGGGCTAGTTTTACATCTCTACATAACACAAAGTCTATAAAACATAAGGCTGATATAAGTTAAGAATTTTTATTTAATGGCTTGGCATGAGTAAATCTGTGTTTAAACTGATAAGACGAGTAAAATGCTTCTGTTGAAAATAAAAAGGCTTCAGTTTAGATTTATTGGCATATAACAAGCAATATTTCCGTAGTTTAAATGACAATGGATAAACGAGAAACTCAACTAAATTAGACTACGTTTCTTTAAAGCACTTCTAGCTTTATTCAATATTCCTATACTTTTAGCAACTTTATTACACAAGAAATTAATTTGGTAATTCCAACTAAAGTTTTCCTCAACATAGATATCCAAAACGTTTGTAGGGTAAAAGGGTCTAGTTGAGCAAGGACAAGTTGAGCAATTAAAATATCTCGAAAATTACGCATTGCATGACAAAACATCTAATGTTTTATGAATAATTTGTTACTAATTAAACTGTAAATAACATCGTTAAGCTTTTTTTGTTCTATTACAAGCCTTTTCTATTTTAGACCAAAATAGTAAAAAAAAGTCTGACGGTATTTTTCTCTTAAATACAGTTTTTATATAATTTATTTTTTATAATTTTTTTATCTGCCATCATTTAAGTGTTGATATTTTACAATTTTATTGGATTTTCAATTATGGATAGCTGTTTTTTCTTGATTCTTACTGTTCTTTTTAAAACCTAACTAATGTGGCATCTATTCACCTAGTAGGGGTAAGTTAAGCAGCTATTTCCCTAGTAGGGTAAGTTAAGCAGCTTGGATAAAAGTAAATAAAATTATCAAATACCAGCAAAAAAAAAAAAAATTAAATGAATTATTGTACCTCACTCTCAAATTGAATTTTGATACCCGTATGGGATGACATAAGGTGACGCTGTTTTTGTGTTTACACTTTATTAAATTTAAGTCAACTTAGTGTTGCTAGTTTTTTTAATGTTATTTTCAAGTCATAGTTTGTTTTTTGACAAATATAGTTGGGTATTTGGCACGTTTTAGTCGGGTATATATATATTTTTTTTAATTTTAGAAATTTTTTTTGCCTCTGTATATAAATATAACTTTGTTAATTTTGTGTTTTTATATTTTGGAGTGATGTTTATATGTAATTATTAGATAAAAAAAGAAAATTTATATAAAGGGAAAAATTCCCTCTTTTATTAAACAATATAACACATTAAAGAGTTCATAAATTTTTAAGGGTTCATACAAGCCAAGGATAACATTACCAGTTATACATTTGTGACCAACTGATTTATTTGACTTGACCATTTTAAAAGATTGTTCAAATGATAAGTCGAAGTAGATTAAGGACGAAATTATCATCAATTTTATTTGTCACCGAAATAATTTTTTTAGTTAAATTTAGCCCAACTGATACAAAAAAATTATTTAATTCATCACAAATTTTAGTTGGTTTGGAGAAAAATTTATCAATAATTTTAAAACTTTTGACATTTTGGCACGTTTTTGTTTTTACATACCGGTAACTAAAATAAATAAATTAGAGTGTAATCCAAATGATGCATCAATCGAATGTAAATTTTGTAATGAAACATTTAAGAGAAAGATTATACAAGAGTTATTGCTGGTAAATTAGCTAAAGTCTACTGCAGAAATGGAGAAACCAAAAGTTTTTCAGATGAAATAGTTCGCACTGAAGATGCTCAGGAAGCTTTGACAGATATTAATGAAAAAAATATCCATTATACAAATACCTCTATAAGTAATGACCTAAGATGATATTTAAATCAAAAAATTAAATCAAAGAATTCGTTGCCATATTGGTCTTCATATTGATCACCATATTTGCTCAAGATATAGGCAAACTCAAGCAAGTTCAACCCCGATCCACTAAATACATCACTAGCATAAACACTTACCTTACGCTCAGCAACTACAAGACATTAAAAAAGACTTCATGTTCAAATTTTGTGGAGTCTGTGATTTGTTGGGAAGTGTTTGTTGACTAAGGTTAAAAAGCTTTTTCCTACATTAGTAATAATATTTTTGCTGAAAAGAGGGTTGAACCATATGGTAATTATCAACAATATCAAAAATAAGGGATTTATAGAAGCGTTTATCACTGATATAATTAAATCAGTTTGTGGTATCTTGGGTTTTTTTCACTGATTGAGATGAAGTTTCTGTACAAGTTTAGAGTTTATATTGGAAAGTATAACTTTACTAATTCTGCCAATTTCATTTTTGACAGGGTTTAATAAACAGACAGTTATATTATTTGTAAAGTTTTTTTTATGATCTTTTAATTTTATAAAACAATTTGAAGGTGTATTATTGTTGATTTTATTGAAAACGTTGTGATTTTTTAATATCCGTTTACCATCTTTATTTATTTGATTTTTTATTTTTGTATTCGATTTTTTGTATGTTGACGTGATAGCATTTGTAAACAAAGGGGTATAATTTTCTTTAGATATATTTTATAAATTGGATGTTTTATCGGAAAAAATATATGTAAGTTTACTATTGCGTATGGTAGATATGTCATTTTTTACCTTGTCTTGGAAATTATTGTCTTATTCTTTTAATTAAGGCTTCGGTTTTATCAAGTAGCTGTATTTTTTAGTTCTTTATTGATAGAATGGGAATGTTCTTGATTAAATAATTCAAGAAAATAATTGCGTAGACGACTTGAGAAGAGTGCTCGACGTATGGAGCTAATTGATGATGTTGTAACTTTTTTAATTTTTAAAAAATTAAATGAGTATATAAGGTTAAAAATTTAATGAGTGTATATATTTTTCCTCAATCTATTTATCTATGTTCATATATAAGTTATATATAAGTTATATATAAGTTGTTAAACTAAAATAAAAATTATAAAAAATCTAAATATAAAGTATTAACAAATGTTTTCACAAAAATAGTTTGTTTTTATGCGTCAACTGCAGTTTGGAATCAAATAGATATATTTTGTTTGTATAGCAAAAATGGTTTCTGAGTCAAACGTTTTGGGGCCCTGTGCAGAAAAGATTGATATCTATTAAAAGGTTTTCTCAAAGAATTTTTATAAAGAGCAATTATATAAAGACACCATGAAAAAGAAGCATCTCCTGTGGGTAATGGAGCACAAAACGTAAACTAAACAACAAATGGATGAAGCAACAAACTCAGCCGTTATTTAAGCAATAAACCTCAAAAAAAAAAAAAAATTATTGACATTAACTTAATTGACCTCCCCCCTCCCCCTTGTCAACAATTGTCAAAAAAGTTCAGACCCCCTCCCCCTATTTTGTTGACGTAATTAATGGACAACCCTTTATTTCAAATTTTTGCCGCTAAGAATCCCCGGAAAATTATTAAGACTTGATTTTACCATAGTTTGTTTTTACAACCAAAGTAAATGTGATTTTAGGTTTACTATGAAAGTAAACAAAAGTAAACTATACTAATATATTTGCTATTTATCATTTTAAGACATAAAGTACGGTAGGACATTCAGTAAACTTTTGGACCCGGGCATCACAAAAGCTCTGAGCGGGCCTGGCAACATCTAATCACAACTGAAAGAAATAGCGATTGGAAAGACCAAAAAATTTTTTTTGATTATTAGTAAGTAATTATTATTATTATTTTATTAGTAGGTAAGTATTATTATTTTGATTATTAGTAAGATTATTACTAATTACGATTTGATATCTTTGATTGCAATGAATGACAGGCAATTTTATATTCCACTGAAACTTAATGACGCATAGTGCGCCACCGCTATTTTATTTTAGAAAAATTTAGTTGTCTCTTTTCTTGTATTGCT